TTTATTTCGCGCGGCGACAGCTCGGACGGAGGAGTGGAAGCGCCTTGCAAACACGTGCGATCAAATCTAGATCGGATCGTAAAAGCCGAAATAAAATGCGTATTAATCTTTGTTGTTAAATTAAAATCTAGTTCCGCTTTGCGGAACGATAATAATCCCATTCGTAAGCGACGTGATTCGCACTAATCTGCCATACGTTTAAGTTAGGTGTACGCGCAAAAAAGGTCACGTGCGATGTAATGGCAAAATCGTTGCTTGTGAAAACGATGGAAAACTCGAATGTGATCGCGGCGCGATTAAATGTGCGGCATTGTTGTGTCTTGCTGTTAGCAATTGTATTAAGGTATTGTGTACGCGCAGAAATCGCGTTCGGTAAATCGAAAATCCGCGTTCTGCGGACTTTATTGGAGACCATATGCCTCTGCTGCTTGTTTATAATTTTCAATAATGCATTACTTGTCCAGAGAATAGGCTGCACGGCCGTTGATAAATTGGCGGCAATGAAGCTATGTATTTTCACTGCTCGATAGCGGTCCTTCCAATCGTGAGAGAGTTATTAAATTCGCCGCGTATTTGTGACGCGTAACAAAGCGTTTTGCGATCAAAGTTTCGCGTCGCGCGTAATTAATAAGCAAAAAATCACAGCCGCAAACGCAAACGAATTATCCCGAAATCGAACTCGACGACACGGATTTCGTCATACATTAGCCTAAGCCTAAGCCTCTTCGATACGAAATCCAAAAATTTTCAATATCGTCTTCAATCCATCTCGCTAGGCAAATAAACGATTCGTGTACGTGTCGCAAGAGGTAGATATGTATCCCAAGGATGCTTGCTGCGCACTTTGCGCTAATTAATGTTTCCGTTTTCATTAAAATAGGAATAGGGTTTGGTGAAAAGGAAGAGAATGTTACTCACGTTGGAACCACCGGCGATATAATGAATATGCAATCCGACGCGGTCGAGGAACGACACGAAAAATTAAATGAAAAAAACGAAAAAAGAAAAAAAAATGGAAATTAAATGAAGAGCGGCTTAATCCGCGCCGACATCTCGACAGGAACCTCGCACTTGCGTCATACTCAAAAGTTTCGTCCACTTTGATAAGAAATAATGGCGCGGCGTTACATAAATACCGCATGGCGGACGGTTAATAGCCGGCAGATACTTTTTTTTTCCCATTTTTCTCTCCTTCCTCGATTCGCGATACCGCAATCATTGTAAACAATCGTCTCATTCCGCTCGGTTTGGACATTTTTAGCGGTACTCATCGCGCGCGTGGATTCACGTGAAAAATTTAACGCGCCGCGTTAAAAAGCGCCGCGGTTAAATAACGCCGGGGCCGCCGCGCGCCGGAGCGGGCATATTTCCGTTACCGCCTCGCGAATAAAAATCAAAATACATCGAGCGCGCGCGGGTAAGTGTTCGATAAAATTCGATTCGGCCGCGCCGGATGGATCCGGGATCTGTGCGTTTGATAAACGGACAGAATACCAAACGTCACGGTTCACTAGCGCTTTCGTTCGGTTAATACGATACGAATTTTGGCGAAATCTAGTCGTCTCCTGAATGCATTAACGCGTAAAAACCCGCGCCCCGCCGACGTTTCGCACGATCGATCTTTCGCCCCGTTGGCGAAAGTCCGCGCGATACGATACCGCGATACGTGTTTATAATCGTGGCCACCACGCGCGAGTGTGGGTTACATTGCGTATCGCGATTACACATTGCGTATTTCATTCTGTCTCGAGACAACTGCAAAACGCGGTACGCGGCGGTTTCTAATATTTTAAATAATGACCGGGGGAAAAAAAAAAAAGAGAAAGAGACGCGACAAGAAACCGCGTCTGGAATAGGCAAGTCTTGCAAATCTGTCATAAGAGCGCGCGGGTATATTATTATCGACTTAGTGCTCGTAGCTTTACTCTAGTATTATATCCACATCGCTTGTCTTTACACAGACGCAAATACACATTACGTTCCACGCGCAAACAAACAAATACAGTTGCAAACAAATTCCTCCGTCGCGTCGTCTAATTATTCATCCCCTGCGTGCCGTGCAATCTTATGATTGCAGATTATAATTTAATCCAGCTAAAACGGTCGCGTCTAAAGAGTTCCATACGTGAGAATCATCCAGATATTTAATGACGACAAATATAGTGAAAAGACATACTCGCATAAAGTCGTATAAAGAAGTCATGTTTTGTTACAATTTATAATTTTTTTGTGTCGTGAGAGATAGCATGCATTTAAACGTATTAAATTATTATTATGACTGTAATTCAAAAGAGATATATAATGTATATATTTTAAGTTACAACGGCAATAATTCATACGCGCATTAAATGTGCGTTATCTCTTTTATATATATATATATATATATATATTTATATATATATATATATATATATATGTATATACACACACTGCTGTTGTGAATATGATTCGTAAAAATATTGCATAATACAAACATTTTCTGTAGTTTGGCCCGCTATAGTCGTCGGATGAAATTGATTGGCGATAGTATATTGAAATAAATATGAAAAACGTGATAATTTCTTTTCGAATTAGTTATATAATTATAAATTATCTTATAAACAAGTTATGGAGACTAAATAATATAATTTAATATAATAATATAATTTAACATTAAAATAATTTTAATGCTAAAAATACATGTTTTTTTTAAACACGGATTTTTATTTACTTTGAAAATTTCTTATTTTATATTTGTGTTTGTAATACAATATCAATTTGTAAGATTACATCCCTTTAGAATACTTTCTAAAATGATGTTAAGGAAAGTGATGTAAACAGAAATTGAATATATAGACAGAGCTTTTTAATTTGTCTAGATGTTAATGTATAATTTAATTAGAATAAATAAACGTTTATCATATGTATTATCATATGTAATACGTAGATTTACCAAATAATTATAATTATTGTGAATTAGAGAAAAAACTATTGCGTGATAAATCACATGTCTACTCTGCTCTTAACTTTGAAGTCTTGTAAACGAAGGTAAATTATATTTCTAGTTACATATAAATTGTTTTTCATTGACAGCAACTGTCTTATCGAGAAAGATTAACGAAATTATAACGGGAAAGTCTACAATGTATAATACAGAGATGGATTATATCTTTTTTTTACGCGCTTATAATAACGGAATAATAAATTTACACGTAAAGGTGAATGAGATTGAAGATTATTGAAGATAATAGTTATCGAGCTGAGGATTGACTTACAGAGATCTGCCGCGGTCAAACAATCATAAAGTCATTACATGGTAACAGGTTTTTCATTTTTTTCCGTTCACAGATGGTAATTGATTGAAAAGGAAAGGAAATACCAGGAGCCGCCGTATCTACGTCGTTAACTATTAAATGCATCATTACTCATAACATTTATGGACGGTGATTTACATTAATCATTCTCGCTAACTTGACATTATAGCAAACGGCGGCGTTATCTAAACAGACTAATGCAATTCTGTTCTCATAAAAATACACACGTTTGTTCCTTTTGACGTACAATGTGCGAAATAAGTCTCTTGATTTTTGTAAGTTATTTATTTCCCGGAAATCGTGACAATTTTGCTCGATAATGCATGCTGAATTGCTTAAAAATGTTTTCGCGCAATAATTTTGCAGTTTAACCTTAATTAAGCTCAGACAAACGTCATGTAACACACATTTGCATTTATTTTGCTTGCTTTATATTCTTCCTGGAAATCCATCTATCTCTTCATTCTATTGTATTTAGTTGTGAGATATATTTAAAATCATAACAAACAAATCGATTATTAAAGGAGATATTGTATATATGATGACACTCTATTGATTCAGAATGAGTCAAGTCCACCCTTAAAGTTGCATCTCTGTGGTTCAAGAATAAAGCCACAGTTTCCGTAAAACGTCCTTTTTAAGTCGCCGTAATAGGAGCAAGGAGGGAAAGAAGAAAACGATGAAGTTCCGAACTCGATGCAGGGTCTCAGGTAAAGGGAAAAAATGGGAACCATCGAGGGGAGGTCGTAGAGAAGAATCTCCGCAACTTTCCTCTGGGGGTTGCTATCGTGAACTGCCAGGTGATTCACCCTCGCGAAACTTTGAGCAGCTGTCTTTTACTTGTTATCCCGTCGCTGATCTTCGGCCCGCTCGGTGGATCGGCGGCTCATTACGGCTCGCATCTTGCATTTACGTGGAATAGCGCGACCAGATGTTGCCCATCGTACGTGCACTGATACCGATTTTCGATTACCAACCGTGATTATAGCCTCTCTCGATCGATAGATTAAATTAATCCTGCCGAAAGATATTGTCGGATACTTTCATTAATTTTTTTTTTTTACCGAACTTTCTCGCTCTACCGAACTTTCTCGCTGTACCGAACTTTCTCGTAATAATTTTTATATTAAAGTAAAGCAAACAAATCGGTATGTTTTCAAATTAGATTGCAGAACATTTGATATAATTTCAGGCCTAGGTCTGGGTCCGCATACGCCGGAAGAAGTCTTGGCGGCGGCCGCGGCAGCATTACATCACCATCATCAAGGTCCAGGCGGTCCCACGATGAGGCCTTTGAGGCCACCGCTACCGCCGGGGATGCTTCACACGTCGCCGCATCCCCTGGCCACGCATCATCCTCTCACGGCGCCGCATCATCCCCTCGTGCCACCTCATCATCCGGAGGAGGACGGCGTCGTCGACGATCCCAAAGTTACGCTCGAGGGCAAGGAGCTCTGGGAGAAATTTCACAAGCTCGGGACGGAAATGGTCATCACGAAGAGTGGCCGGTAAGTGTCAACTGTACCGTCGTCTTCAACATCGTTATCATGATTACAATCCTCTTTGTCGCTAATTAAACAATCATTGGCTCTTCTAAGGGCAGAGCAATCAATACCAAGTTTCATCGCACGCGCGTATTTATGTAAATAATATTTACTAGACATCAAATAATCGATAAGCTATTGGAATTCAATTATTTGTAGTGTCTTGCTGATTGCGTGACACGTTATCGAAAATTGCCGTTTCATCTGGAACATTTCGATATGAATATAATTGACCTATGAGTTGCGCGTGTTTATGTTAAGCGGCAGTTGTCAATTGTGAGAATTCACACTATTTTCCATTCGCGATATGAAGAAACCATTTTTACTGCCTCCTTTTTATCGCCTAGAAATAAGAAATAGCCTCAATACTTTTCATACCTATTCGTGGGTCTGCTTTTAAATATTTGAAATTCTTTTTTTATGTTTAAATATAATCGATTATGCATGATTTCTCTTTTAGTGAAATTAACTACGAACTATTTCGGAAAATAATTTTATATTAAAGGGAGTACACAAGCCGTATACAAATAAAAAATATTTTATATGTAATGTTGAAGCTAAATTCATAATTTAGCTTCATAATAAGCTAGAAGCTTCATAATAAGTTAGATTCATAATTTTTGCACATAAAATTTTTAAGCGTACATGCACATACACATACATATACATATTATATATATATATATATAGTCTTTAACAATCTTATTAGTTAAGAGATGTCGGCCTCTCGAACGAACCTGAGACCT